TGTCGCGTGGGGCAGAGGGGGAGCAGCCCCGCGCAGCGCGGCGCGGCGGGGGGCACCTGCGCGGGCCCCTGCGCAGCGCCGGGCCCGTCCCGCATCCCCGCTCCGCGCTGCCTCGCTCCGTGCCCTTTCATCTCTTCCCCGGCAAACCACGGCGGGCTTCGATTCCAGCTTTTCCCAAGCACTAAAAATAGTCTCCCCTGTGCCTTCCCTCCCAGGAGAAGCCAATCCTTCATACACTTCCATACACTGTTCCCCAGTGCGGAGCTTGCAGCCCCTACATCTTCTCGCTGATGAGGGTGTCAGATATAATTATTTTTGAAAGCTGTATCCCATGCTATGCTCTTGTCACTAATCTCCCTACCTCAGAAGATTTCATCTCATGACTGTTTATTTCTGCTTTTAGGAAAGCAATTCTCACATATGAGCACATAAGGGCCATTTTTGGTGGAGGAAAAAAAAACCCATTGACAGCCAAGCGTCAGCTTGGTGAGACATGGTGAGAAATCAGAGGTGCTGCAGAAGCAAACTCCTATTCCAAAGCAAGGAGCCAGAGGCTCACACATCCTCACCTTCTCCCTTTCCCCCGCCCGTATTTGCAGGTGTCAGCACGCGGCCCGTGTCCCCCGCACCACGGCTCGCTCGGCGGCCCTGCCGCGCGCGCTCACCTCTCTCTCCGGTGCCCAACGCTAGCGAGGCGCCTCTCCTCTCCCAGACCCGGCCTCATCCACGGAGCACTCTGCACCTCAGCTGAGCGGCTCTCTCAATTGCTCAGTTTTTGTTTCGCTGCCTTTGCTGATGATACGGTTTCACAAGTTCACTCCCCAGTCATCACAGAACCTCGCCTAGACAAGAACGTGACTTAAAAAGTAAAAGTTTCAGTCAAAAGTCTTTTGTCATACTTTCTAAGGAGGAAATCTAGCCATAAAGTGAAATATTTTCCTTTATGGATCATCTGGTAGGTGGACTCAGTGGTCAGTAAATATCTAATACTTAGTGGGCTTTTATAGATACTAACATTTTGTTAGCAGCATGTTCTAGTACTCACTATGCAGCCAATACAGCTGGGCATATGAGACTTAGTTAAAAAAGAAAGCTCATGTTCAATTTTAGTAGGATTCTAGATATTTGGTTTGTGTTTTTTTTTTTTTTAATCTCCATTTTTTAAGTTAAATTGTGACAGTTATTACAGAGAGACAGACAGATTCTGAGAAATTTGACAGAGAAGTAGGTGCAATTGCTTTGTACCTTTTCCATTACAGGTGCACTATAATTAGTCTGATCACTATAAGGAAAGCACCAACTCCCGCGATCTGTTGTCTAGTGAGGCAAGGTGGTTTACATGAATTTTAGAACAGGAGCTCTGCATGTGCTCTTCTCCTTACTACAAAATGTAATGGATGTGTCAGGCACAGACTAGAGATACTTTACAATACATTCCTATATTAATTTAAAAAAATGGCCATTCATAACACTAAATCATAATGTATACAAGAGAAAGGCAAACTAAGGTCTTATCCTCCCATTTCTCAATTCTATAATTGACAAAACTTAGCCAATTTAATATTCTACTATTTCTATGAAAGATCAACATGAATAAAATTTCACATAGCTCCTGGCTAACTWAACCTAAAGAATACTATTATTAGTTGACTTTGTTGGGTAATTTTAAATGTCTTCYTAAGGATGGAGTAAATTGGGTCTTAATTACCCGCCCTTACATGGACAATCAAGTCCCTCTTCTTTCTCAATGGGAGCTTTGTCTCAAGGGCTAGGATCTAGTCCAGGGAAAGATGGAAACATAGTTAGCACTTGGTCCCAGGAAGATGTTGGCAGATGAAACTCRAACATTGCCAGTCCCTTTTCAGATATTCTCGCTATGGTGCTTTGCATGTGTTTTGTGCCTTTGAGCCCTGTTGAGCTGGCCGTATTAGACACCGAGGGCTAGGCTGACCAACTTGCACTGACGTCAAGAAGTCTTGCATACAAAAAATCCTACTGATTCCTGTGGTTCCCATAAACCACGTGGTTCCATGAGGGGCAGATTGCTGGTACAAACTGCCAAAGCCCCACTCGTACCAAGGGAAAGCTGCTCTTCGGTGGCCCAGGGACCAGTAAGCAATCTGGCTTCTCTTCTGGATGATTCTAAAAGCAAAACTGCATCATCTGTATGTAATCCCTCTGAGGCCTTCGAGGTATTTTCATGGACTGATTTTAGATCAGGAGTGGAGACAATGAATACTACCTGAATATCAGGTACCTTGCCACTTTAAGCTTCTCAAAATCACTGGAAATGTTGCCATTACATGGAGTGGTCCTGCTTTCTCCCCTTACTTGTGTGACAAAACTAATTGGATGAAGCACTCAGTAAGGTGCAGAGCTGAAGGGATGAACTGCTCTTTTATTCCCCATTTATTTGGAACCACCCACCCCGGATTCAATTTATTTGCTCTTTTGGAAAGTATAACTGATGTTATAGTGGGTATATTTTTCTGCAGTCATTCACTACCAGAGGTACCCAAGAACAAACTATAGAAATAAAACCATTCTTGCCTCCGCACCTGTCTCTGAGTGGCTGAAGATGAAAAGGCAGCTTATCATCTTCAGGAACTGGCATCACCATTTAACCAGCTTAACATCACACATTGGAGTTATCCCTGCAGGGAGCTGCTACGCTTTTGCAGCAAAGCCAGAGCGACGTCGCGCGCTAACAGCAGAGGTGCTCGCAGGCCTGCTGGGGAAGTGCTCCTGCCTCTGCCCACTCTGCRCCCGCTGCTCGGCAGACAGCAGAGTGGCCTCGCTCCCTGGGTGCCCCCAGGGCAGGGGCACCAGCTGGGAGGTGGTGAGTGACCCTGCCTGCAGGTGACAGCAAGGGAAGTCTGCCAGAAGCCCGGACTAACTCAGTTTGTTTGTTTTTACATAGGAGTTCTTGTTTTCTGAAGCTGGATTTCAGAGTTTCATAAACTTGCCCTTTTTTACTGAGGATAGACATGTCCTTACAGGAAGAAATATTTGTTTACTAATACCTTTTGTTTTGCCAGGGGTGTCTGCTGGATTCCCTGGCTGAAGTTAAAAGTCACTTCCCTTAAGCAGCTAACTTGCCTTTCCCCTTCCCCGTTCTGATACCTTGCARCCCTTAGTGGCTATCAGTGAAACCCACTGCCCATCTAGGTAAACCTCATGTAAACATAAACCTAAAGAGAAAAAGCTGCCTGACTGTTCATGGGCTGAGGGAAGTGAGATGGTTAAAGAGGAAAGGAGAAGACATCCCAGTCTGTGCTTAATTATGGTACCTTAAACCACACTTTGTGGTTTTCAGCCAAGGCTGTGTGTTGTCTTAGGTTGAGTGCCTGTAAATCTGAAATAAGTAAATGACTTCATTGTGAAGGTTTGGCTCTAGAGAATCTTAGCAGCATCCCGAAGGGTTATTTAAATGTCAATAACCTTTTCTAATTCAGGCTATTGAAATTAAGCAAACCTGTGCTGAACTAGCAAGTTACTAGTTTAAATTTGTGTAGCTGTAAATAAATACATATAACAGAGAAAA